CACCATGCCCGGCTAATGTTTGCATTTTTTGTAGAGAGGAAGTCTCGGTATGTCGCCCAGGCTAGTCTTGACTCCTGGGCTCAAGCGATCCCCGCGCCACCACCTCCCAAAATCCTGGGGATTACAGGCTTGAGCCACAGTGCCCGGTGAGACCCCATCTCTTTAAAAGAAAAAAAAAAAATGCTTTGGCTGGGCGCGGTGGCTCACGCCTGTAATCCTAGCACTTTGGGAGGCCAAGGTGGGTGGATCACTTGAGGTCAGGAGTTCAAGACCAGCCTGGCCATCATGATGAAACCCCCATCTAAAAAAGAAAAAAAAAGGCCGGGCGCGGTGGCTCAAGCCTGTAATCCCAGCACTTTGGGAGGCCGAGGAGGGTGGATCACAAGGTCAAGAGATCGAGACCATCCTGGTCAACATGGTGAAACCCCGTCTCTACTAAAAAAATACAAAAAATTAGCTGGGCATGGTAATCCCAGGTACTCGGGAGGCTGAGGCAGGAGAATTGCCTGAACCCAGGAGGTGGAGGTTGCGGTGAGCCAAGATCGTGCCATTGCACTCCAGCTTGGGTAACAGGAGCGAAAACTCCGTCTCAAAAAAAAAAAAAAGAAAGAAAGAAAAAGTTTTTAAATTAGTCTGGCGAAGTGGCAGGTGCCTGTCGCCCTCACTACTTGGGAGGCTAAGGTGTGAGGACTGCTTGAGCCCAGGAGTTTTAAGGCTGTAGTGAGCTATGATTGTGCCAGGACACTCCAGGTGGGGCCACAGAGTGAGACCATGTCTCTAAAAAATTAATTTTTTTAAAAAGCAGCACAGTAAACACCTAATATTTGTTGAGTGAATAAATACATGAAAACATATACAAAAAATTAGCCGAGCATGGTGGTGTGTGCCTGTAATTTCAGCTACTCGGGAAGTAGAAGCATGAGAATCACTTGAACCTCAGCAGTGAGCTGACTGAGATCATGCCATAGCACTCCAGCCTGGACTACAGAGCGAGACTCCATCTCAAAAAAAGAAAAATTAGCTGGGCATGATAGTGCATGCCTGTAATCCCAGCTACTCAGGAGGCTGAGGCACGAGAATAACTTGAACCTGGGAAACGGAGGTTGCATTGAGATCATATCACTGCACTTCAGTGTGGGTGACAAGAGACTCTGTCTCAAAAAAAGGCAGAGGTTACAGTGAGCCAAGACTGCACCGCTGCACTCCAGCCTGGGCAACAGAGTGAGACGTTGTCTCAAAAAAAAAGGAAACAATAAATCAGATATATATATATATATTTTTTAGATACCGTCTGTCAGGCATTTTTTTTTTTTTTTCTTTTTTTTAGATACTACTGCCCAGGCTGGAGGGCAGTAGTGCGATTTTGGCTCACCAAAACCTCCACCTCCTGGGTTCAGATTCTCCTGTCACAGCTTCCTTAGTAGTTAGGATTACAGGCAATCGCTCCCATGCCCGGCTAATTTTTATATTTTTAGTAGAGACAGGGTTTCACTATGTTAGCCAGGCTGGTCTTGAACTCCTGACATTAGGTGATCCACGTGCCTTGGCCTCCCAGAGTGCTGAGATTTACAGGCTTGAGTCACCAAGCCTGGCCCCAATCAGATAATTTTTTTAAAATTCCAGCCGGGTGCAGTGGCTCACGCCTGTAATCCCAGCACTTTGGGAAGCCGAGGAGGGTAGATCACTTGAGAACGGGAGTTCAAGACCAGCCTGACCAACACGGAGAAACCCTGTCTCTACTAAAAATACAACATTAGCCAGGTGTGGTGGCACATGCCTGTAATCCCAGCTACTTGGGAGGGTGAGGCAGGAAAACTGCTTGAACCCAGGAGGGGGAGGTTGTGGTGAGCCGAGATCGTGCCATCACACTCCAGCCTGGGCAACAAGAACAAAACTCTATCTGAAAAAAAAATTGTATGAAAAAAGGAAAAACCTCAAAGCCTACTTTCTTGTTGCACTAAGGAAGCTACTCATAAAACTAATTATTGCTGCACTATGCACAAGATCCTTTCTCAGAACTCAACATGTATCTAAAGCTTCCATTTAGAGTTAGCTCGGCCTGATTAAAATGGAGTCATGGCTTGGCCCCTCAGATTATTTGAGGAATGAATAAAGTATAGCTAAAATGAAGTGTGCCAAGTTCCAGGAAGTCACATCAGATAAAGTTTCTAGAGGCCCTATGGGAGCGATAGAGATTGAACCAGAGACTTGTGCAAAATGTTTACTCTCTCCAATTTAGAAACAGTCTGACTTCAGGGCTCAGTTACATTGCTGGCTCTTAAACACGGGGGTACTTGTTGTGAACAATGCTGATGCTATGTGGGTGGCAGATTTAAGAATATCTAGAGAGGAGCTGAAATATGCCCCTCTTTACAAGTACTCCTCTATTCTCCTGAAGCAACCATTGTTAACAGTGGCCTACCCTTCTCTGTGATTAGGCATATTTTTTTCCTATGACAGTTCCTATCGCCTTCATTCATTCATTTTACTTATTACTTATTGCCTTGTTTTTGAGATAGGGTTTCATTCCCATCACCCAGGCTGGAGTGCAGTGGCAAGATCAACAACTCATTGCAGCCTTAACCTCCCTGGCTTAAGTGATCCTACCGCCTCATTTTTTGATTTTTTGTAGAAATGAGTTCTTACTATGTTGCCCAGGCTGATCTCAAACTACTAGGTCCAAGTGATCCTCCCACCTCAGCCTCTTTAAGTGCTGAGATTGCACAGGTCTGAGCCACCACACCCAGCCTATCATCTCTTTTGATTGGTAATTTTATTACAAAAAAATAGCATAGTAAGCACTACAAAAGTGTGTGGGGTTTTTGATTTTTAGAGACAGGGTTTCACTGTTGCCCAGACTGGAGTGCAGTGCAGTGGGATTACCGGTAACTTACTGCAGCCTTGAACTCCTGGGCTCAAGCCATTCTGCTTGTTTCCCAAGTAGTTGGGCCTACAGGCATGAGCCACCTCACCGGGCCAAGTTTTTACATTGTTTTAAGTACTTCACATGTAATCACAACTACTGTTGAGATAGGTGTAATTAACCCAATTTTTATAGGTGAGGAATTTCATGTTCGGACAGGATAAATTAGTTGCCCAACATTACAAGCAAGTAATTGAGCCAGATTTGACTCAAGAAGTCTTGTATCCAGAGCCACACTAAACCATTAGACCACATTTTTGCAGAGGACGTATCTTTTAAATTGAATATATTTAACTTTATGTAAAATATGCTGAGCTGTTCTCTTTGAGAGCTGACAAAAACTATTTTGGACTGGCATCAGGCCATACACCAGGCCTCCAACACATATTTAAAGAGCCTTTCCCTGGCCAGGTGCCGTGGCTCACACCTGTAACTCAGCACTTTGGGAGGCTGAGGCAGGTGGATCACCTAAGGTCAGGAGTTCGAGCCCAGCCTGGCCAACATAGTGAAACAGTCACTTTAAAAAAAGAAAAAAAATCGCTGGGCGTGGTGATGCACGCCTGCAACCCCAGCTACTAGGGAGGCTGAGGCAGGATAGTCGCTTGAACCCGGGAGGCAGAGGTTGCAGTGAGCTGAGATTGCACCACTGCACTCCAGCTTGGGTGAAGGAGACTATGCGTCAAATTAAGGAAGGTGAAAGGGCAGAAGGGAGTTTCCTGTGGCCTAACACACCCAACATGAGTATAACAAGGGCTATAGGAGTTAAGAGCCAGAACCTGTGGGGCAAAGAACTGCAACATCAGAGTGACTAAGGCAGATTACCTAAAGTTGTGTGTGAAACCATCCTCAGGTACACCGTGAATATCAAAAGCAGGTATTTCTAGATATGCTATTCCTGCATTTGTGTTAATATACTCATGGGTGGTTCCTGCATGCCAAACCACTAACTAAACATTAACTGACCAGTGATTTAAACTCCTTACCCTAAGTATGCACTTACACCAGTTTTAGTGCCGGAAAACATTTCTCTATTATAAAACTAAAAAAAAAAACCAGGGGTCCCCAAACCACTCCCAATTTTGTGGCAAGATGAGAATCATTTATTTATTAACAGAAGATAGTGAAGGGGAAAAGACTGAAAACTTTCTTATACCCTTACTCCTTCAAATGTTTTCTATTAGCACTGTGCCTGTATTATTGCCTAGTGTCCACTGGCACAGAAGCCTAAGAACTGCTTACGTTGCCAGACTTACAAAAGGATAAGCATTTTTACCAAATACGGGTAAAATCTCATTTGTTGCTGCAATCTTTTTCACAATAACGTTAAGCTGTTAGTCATTAAGAACCAACAGTCACAAAAAAACAACTTTAACTTTCTGGTAACTCACCAAGATTAGGAAGTTGTCTTAGATCAGGATACCATTTTAAACATTAAGTATCTTCAAGCAATCTTTCTCCTCAGCCAGTAGTCTTTCATACTCAGTGATTAGTTGCCTCTTGGCTGAGGAGCTAAAACACGTACAGCAGAGACAGGATTATGGTCCCATTACTACTACCCAGGCTGAACGCTTTGGTGTTAATACACTAGAAAGCAATAAACACACAGCTGATAGTCACCCAATAACTGCAGAACTGAAAGCAGTTACCACTATTTAAGCAGCCTCAATCAAAACTATTTCTCCAGCAATCTTTGATTAGTTTGGATCTAGGCAGGCACATTTGCTTTCCTTCAATGTAAAAAGATGCCTGCAATCACTTGAGCCCAGGAATGATAAAGGGAACTCCGATTGTGCCACTGTACACAAGCCTGGACTACAGAAAAAGACCGTCTTAAAGAGCCTGCATATCCAACAGACTTTAAATTCGAGCTTCAGAAGTGTGCCATTAATCCAGGGTTTTAACTCGTAATGACTTACAGCAAAGAAAGCTCTTACCCCTCAGCACACCCAAGTGTATACCAGACTTAACTCTGGGCACCTTACCAATCTCAAAATTAAATCCCTCCCTCAACATAATTTTCACCAGTTTTAAGAGTACCCAGACATCACCACAGAATTTCATGACAAGACAACAAGTATACTAACATGCAACAAAACCTTTATTAACATTTTAAACAGGTTCAGCTATTACTGAAACTTGTAATTTCTAAACTTAAGTTGGGGCAAATGACTATAGTGCAATATAGTGATGGCTATATTGCCATCACTGGGCACTGCGAATGCAAAACTGAAGAATTAACAGCCACCCCTCAGACGCAGGACCAGGTGCAAGGTCGACTCTTTCTGGATGTTGTAATCAGAAAGAGTGCGGCCATCTTCCAGCTGCTTGCCTGCAAAGATGAGCCTCTGCTGGTCGGGGGGGATGCCTTCTTTATCTTGGATCTTGGCCTTCACATTTTCGATGGTGTCACTAGGCTCCACCTCCAGGGTGATGGTCTTGCCGGTCAGGGTCTTCACGAAGATCTGCATACCACCTCTCAGACGCAGGACCAGGTGCAGGGTCGACTCTTTCTGGATATTGTAGTCAGAAAGAGTGCGGCCATCTTCCAGCTGCTTGCCTGCAAAGATGAGCCTCTGCTGGTCGGGGGGGATGCCTTCCTTATCCTGGATCTTGGCCTTCACATTTTCGATGGTGTCACTAGGCTCCACTTCCAGGGTGATGGTCTTGCCGGTCAGGGTCTTCACGAAGATCTGCATACCGCCTCTCAGACGCAGGACCAGGTGCAGGGTCGACTCTTTCTGGATATTGTAGTCAGAAAGAGTGCGGCCATCTTCCAGCTGCTTGCCTGCAAAGATGAGCCTCTGCTGGTCGGGGGGGATGCCTTCTTTATCTTGGATCTTGGCCTTCACATTTTCGATGGTGTCACTAGGCTCCACCTCCAGGGTGATGGTCTTGCCGGTCAGGGTCTTCACGAAGATCTGCATTTCGACCTAGTTTAAAATAAAACATAAGCATATCATCATCTTTTTATTTCTTGCTTTTACATCTAATATTCTTCAAAGTTAGCAACTATTTCTTCAAAATGACTTAAAATACGTTAACATCTCGTAAACCTCCCCCTATCTTTACTAGACTTAATCACTTAATGTGAAATTCGTCCCTCAAGGTTGCAACGTCGACAGCGGAGAATCCTAAACGCGCTCTAAACAAGCATCCACAGCTTTCTCCACTTACTGTTCCGGATATTCAAACTCCCCCGACCGAACTCCAATATGCCTCAAACGTTAAGCATGGTGTTCAGGAAACTGAAAACAAAACCGAACCCTCAAGTCTCGCGAAATAAAAATCACGTTGAAACACAAAAAGAGGCACCTTTCTCACACTGGGATTCCCGAAGTAAAGGTTTCCAGAACCACACAGACCTTTTTTCCGCCTTCCCCCGCTGAAGCAAACGCGACGGAATCGCCATCCGTTAAGCATCCGTTAGTTTCCGTCGGCGCGCGCGCCAGCCGCCCTCACCCTCCTCTCGTCAAGGCCCACTCTCCCAGAAAGGCCCGGCGCCGCGTCACCTCGCCCTCCCCTCCCCCCACGCCCTCCCCTCAGCGGCCCACCAAGCTCCAACAAGCTTTCAGCTTGACCTCACCTATGCCCCCTCTTCACGTTCCCCCTGTTCACTAAGGTCGTGGGCCAGTACCTGTTAGGGGATAGGACGATTCTACGAATGGTTAAGCACGCTCAGCCACTGAACTCCGACTAACCTCCACTCGACAAAGCCACTCACCCCTAAACGCTCCGTTTCGGCGGAGCTCAAATTTATGCAACGTGTGTTGCGTCACTTATCACCTTTTACGTAGCGCCGTCTCCGTGCGCCGCCAAAAGTAGTTCGCCGCGCCCAACCTCCCGCGACGCAGTTAGGCTTTTCAACTGAGCCCCAAATTCCTCATAGTCGTAAGAAAGGATTCTAACAAATTATGTCCCTTCACTTCTATGCGCTTCTTTTCCTTCTTTAGGAAAATATAAGAAAATTATCAGGCGGATGAATTCGAGTTAAAGAAACCTTCCTCGAAAGCTCTGGAAACTTCCTTGCTGCGGAGGCGCTGATTGGTTAGGCCTGCGAAGGCGAAGCCGGCGCTGATTGGTGGGGGACATAGCGGCTCTGTTGTTGCTGGGCTCCGGATGGTGGGGCGGGGTTCAGCGCCGACGTTGCTAAGTAACTGAGTGCGCGTGCGCCGCAGAGGCGCGCTTTCCCGAAAGAGGGGATACTTCCGGCGGGCGGAGGAGGGGTCTTTCTTTCTTTCTTTTTTTTTTTTTTTTTTTTTTCTGAGACAGTCTTACTCTGTCGCCCAGGCTGGAGCGCGGCTCACTGTAACCTCCGCCTCCCGGGTTCAAACGATTCTCCTGTTACAGACTCCCGAACAATTGGAATTACAGTCGCCCGCTACCATGCCCGGCTAATTTTTGTATTTTTAGTAGAGATGAGGGTTCATCATGTTGGCCAGGCTGGTCTCGAACTCCTGACCTTGTGATCCGCCCACCTCGGCCTCCCAAAGTGCTTGGACTACAGGCATGAGCCATTGCAACCGCGCCCGGCCTTCTTTTTTTTAATTTTAATTTTAATTTTTATTTTTTCAGACGGAAAAAAAAATTATCAGGCGAATGAATTCCCTAATAGTTGGCTCTTGTTGCCCATGCTGGAGTGCAATGGCGCAATCTCGGCTCACCGCAACCTCCGCCTCCCAGGTTCAAGGGATTCTCCTGCCTCAGCCTCCGGACCAGCTGGCATTACAGGCATAAGCCACCACTCCCAACTAATTTTTTGTATTTTTAGTAGAGACGCAGTTTCACCATTTTGGCCAGTCTCGAACTCCTGCCTCGACCACCTGCCTCTACCTCCCAAAGTGGACCGCCGCGCATCAGAAGCGGGACCCGATGTCGCGACACCTGGTGGTGACTGTGAAGCACAATTTCCTCTCCCACGTCTTATAAAACGCGCACACCTGGATGATCCTGGTGGCTCACGCCTGTAATCGTAGTACTTTGGGAGGCCGAGGCATGTGTCACTGCGTCAGGAGTTCAAGATCAGCCTGGCCAAAATGGTGAAACTTCCGTGTCCACAAAAAATACTAAAAGAATTAGCCAGACGTGGTAGCGGGCACCTATAATCCCAGCTGCTTGGGAGGCTGAAGCAGAGAATTGCTTGAACCCGAGAGTCAGAGGTTGCACTGAGCCGAGATCGCGCCACTGCACTCCAACCTGGGAGAAGAAGCGAGACTTTGTCTGAAAACAAAAACAAACAAAAAAACGCGCGCCCCTCACACACTGGCCAATTGTTTTTGTTTTTTTGAGACAAGGTCTGGCTCTGTTCCCCAGGCTGGAGTGCAGTGGCACGACCACTGCTCACTGCAGCTTCGACCTCCCATGCTCAAGTGATCCTCCCACCTCAGCCTCCCAATTAGCTGGCACTGCCTGGCTTTTTTTGTTGTTGTTGTTTTTGAGAGGGAGTCTCTCTGTCACCCAGGCTAGAGTGCAGTGACACACTCTCACTGCAACCTCTGCCTTCTGGGTTCAAGAGATTGTCCTGTCTCAGCTTCCTGAGTAGCTGGGATTACAGGCATGCACCACCAGGCTAATTAATATATTTTTTAGTAGAGACAGATTTTCACCAGGTTGGTCACACTGGTCTTGAACTCCTGACCTCGTGATCCACCTGCCTCACGAGGGGGATCCCAAAGTGCTGGGATTACAAGCATGAGCCACCTCGCCCAGCCTAATTTTTGTATTTTTAGTAGTGACAGGTTCGCCATGTTGGCCAGGCTGGTCTCGAACTCCTCACCTCAGGTGATCTGCCTGCCCCGGCCTCCCAAAGTGCTGGGATTACAGGTGTGAGCCACCTTGCCCGGCCTAATTTTTGTGATTAACTTTTTTTTTTTTTGTAGATCAGGGTCTTGCCGTGTTACCCAGGCTGGTATTGAACCCCTGGGCTCAAGAGATCTGCCTGCCTCAGCCTCCCAAAGTGCTAGGATTACAGACATCAACCAGAGCGCCCGCTGGACTAGCTGCTTTTTATTTATGTTCGTGGTTATTGTAGGGTTATGGAGCTTTAAATCATGCTTCTGTAGTTAGAGTGCTCTTAGTTGCATTGTCTTAATCCTCATCATGGCCCCCAAGGACAGTCTGTAAATCTGGAGTTCAGAGTGGGACCCTCGGCGGGGACCCGGCACCTGTTGCAGAAGCTGCTCACCACCAGACCCAGAGAGGTAAGGCTGGAGTCAAAGGTGACAGTGGCCGAGCTTTGCGCTGGCTCCAGCAATACCTGCAAATCTCCCTGCTGTTTCTCCAAACTGATAGAAAAAAAAAAAATGCAGATTAGGGAGCTGAAACCCGCTTCAAGAAATGGGAATTCACCTATAAGAAAGTAGCTGAGGGGGAGTGTCCCCACCTTCTTGTATCTCCTCCCCACAACAACTTGCTTTTGTTGTACCGTCTTTCAATAAAAAGAAGCTGTTTGGTCTAAAAAGAAAAAAAAAAGAAAGAAAGTTGCTGTTACTGCTCCCATTGAGGTGTTTGTTGTGCCAGGGTGGGGTTTACCAGCTAGGACCAAGTGACTGGTTTCCCTACACCCTGGGTGTGGCCACTCGTCCTGCAAGGAGATAACCCACGGAAGGTGAGTAAGGCAGACGTGTTTGGATCCTGGAGCCTGGCAGAGTCACCCAGGTGGGGTTGAAGTAAATAAGAAATTGGCTGTTTTTTACGTGATACCAGCCTTCATATGTAAGAAGTAGTCTTGAAGTGTGTGTATTAATACAATTCAGTAAACATCACTTAGAAGGGTCGCTAATTGCTAAATTTCTGCATATCTGAGCATAACATTAAGAAACTGTTGACAGATGAGCTGGTATACAAGTTCAGTTAAATTAACTAAAACAGGGATCAACTGTCTACTGACATGGATAGAAAACAGTTTACGATAAGTTGGAAATGATTTTGAACGACTTGGGAGGTAGTTTATAAAACGTTTATTTTATTATACAAAGTATGGATTTTACTTTTTGTTAGCCTATCAGCGATTCTGAATTTGTGTCACCAGCCAGCAGCTCCTCCTGAATCATACATGTTGATCACAGATTGAGCTAGAAGGCAGATCTCATGACTGGTATAATGACTTCACTGGGAAGTTCTAGCAGTTGCCAGAACTCTACGTTAGTCATACAGGCTCCTGATTCCGTGTTTTCCCAAAGTAGGTCATTTGTAACCTAAGATCAGGAATTTGGTAATCTGCCACAATACTTGGCACTGTGCTCAATAAATGTTTGTTCAGTGACTAAAATGCAGTTTTCTCTTGTTCAACTGGAGAAACTTTGTGACAGCCTTAAAACACAAAGCAAAAAGACAGTACAGTACTGTATTTCATCTCCATAGGCAAATGCGATTTGCCTTGGCAGTTCCTTCACAAGAAACAAAGGAGGATTGATTCTGAGATTGTTTTTTTGTTTTTTTTTTTTGAGACAGAGTCTCACTCTTGTTGCCTAGGTTGGAGTGCAATGGCACGATCTTGGTTCACTGCAACCTCCTCCTCTGGGTTCAAGCGATTCTCCTGCCTCAGCCTCCCAAGTAGCTGGGATTAGAGGCATGTACCATGCCTGGCTAATTTTGTATTTTTAGTAGAGACGGGGTTTCTCCATGCTGGTCTCGAACTCCTGACCTCAGATGATCTGCCTGCCTCAGCCTCCCGAATTGTTGGCATTACAGGCGTGAGCCACCACGCCCGACTGATTCTGAGATTCTAAGTGATTTTACTTGGCTAGATGTCTTTTAATAAAAATCTGTGTGAAAGCTATAGTTCCAATTAAAAGTTCACAGTTGTTTTCTTGACATTGTTAGGTGATGTTTAAAATGTGGACTTAGTCTCTGGTTTGTCAGTTCCTTTACTTTATATTTCACATTTGGCTATTTATCTCAATACAATTATGTAACGAACTCCTAATTTATTACAAGCAAGTTAGAAACTTTGATATTGAATGCTCAAATGCACACAGAGCAAAATTTTGTACTGTCTTCATGTTAGGTCTCAAAAGTACAGAAATCTGTCCATTAAAAAATAGCTACTTCTGCCAGACGTGGTGGCTCACACCTGTAATCCCAGCACTTTGGGAGGTTGAGGGGGGTGGATCACAAGGTCAGGAGTTTAAGACCAGCCTGTCCAAGATGGTGAAACCCCATCTCTACTAAAAATACAAAAACTTAGCTGAGTGTGGTGGAGGGTACCTGTAATCCCGGCTACCCTGGAGGCTGAGGCAGAGAATTGCTTGAATCCACGAGGCAGAGGTTGCAGTGCGCTGAGCTCTCACCACTGCACTCCAGCCTGGACAACAGAGTGACACTGTCTCAAAGGAAAAAACAGCTACTTTAGGTAGGTTGCAGTCGCTCACACCCATAATTTCAGCACTTTGGGAGGCTGAGGCAGGTGTAACATTTGAGCCCAGGAATTTGAGATCAGCTTGGCCAACATGGCAAAACCCCAGATCTACTAAAAATACAAAAATTTGGCCATGGTGACACGCACCTGTAATCCTAACGACTTGGGAGGCTGAGGCATGAGAATCCCTTGAACCCAGGAGGTGGAGGTTGCATTAAGCAGAGATTGCACCACTGAACTCCAACCTGGACGACAGAGTGAGACTACATCTCAAATACAAACAAACAAAAAATAGCTACTTACTTTATCTATTTTGGAGTATCTGTTGCCCAGACTGGAGTGGAGTTGCAATCATGGCTTACTTCAGGCTCCAACTCCTGGGCTCAAGTGATTCCCCTGTG